CACCCGTGACGGTTGGAGTTCCTCTGAATGGAGATGCTTCTACCGTTCACCGAGCAACCACACTTGGCCGGGAAAGACCACCCGCGCGACGCTGCTGCCTGGAGAAAGCCGCGCAACCATCGAACCAAACCAAGGTTGAGGTAGATGAAACGTCGTCGATTCTGGCCGCCCTCCACCGTCACACACACAAGCTCCTCTTTTGTCGTATGATAACTCTCAAAGAATACCTGCTTGTGCCCGATCTGAAGATGCCGAAGAAGTTTCCCTGGACGCTCGCCGCGCTGCCGCCCCCCGTTCGAAGAAGACCTGCAAAACAAATCAGGACAAGAAGATCGCTCCCCACCCAGGAAAAGATCGCTCCTCCTTTCTCGCGCTCTCTCTCTAAGAATTTTCTCTCTCATTGTTATTCCTTTTATGAAATGATGTGTCTTTTCGGAAGGTAACTTTTAGTTTTCAGAAGTATAAATAGATGACTGTCATAACTCTTTTAATATGAGAGATTACTTCTTCTTCCCGTTTTCCTTCTCTATTTCATAAACACAAAAGACTGCAAGATTGTTGCTTCCGGAATTTTAATTGAAGGGACTCCTGGGTAGGGGTGGCTATACGGTCCGGTTCGGTTAAATTGGACCAAATTGATCCGGTCCCAGTTCGGTCTTGACGGGAATATAAGGACCAAAGATTGGATTGGATACAATCCGGTCTTGATCCGGTCCAGTCCCAATTTTATCTTGATTTTAGGTGTTGGGGGTCTTTTATCCGGTTTTTTACCTCAAACCTAAGCCCGAATATGAGATTTCATTGTTTGCTATCCGGTCCCAGTTTGGTCCGGGTCCGGGTTATACGGTCCGGTTTCGGGTAAAACCAAACAGTCCGGGACCAAATAGCCAGCCCTACTCCTGGGGGTGGTTTGCTGGAGCCTACCAGAAATTTGTAGTCGGGAAAATAACGCTTTAAGGAGAGTGATCTAATCACGCCTTCAATCGATTCTTTTCTATCGTTTCCTTGACATACCATACCGATAGTAGCTTGTTATAATCATCAGGTTGCAAACTACTCATCACTTGATTTCAAACGAAGAAGTTGTGCTCAAATGAGTCTCGGTACATACACTATTTCAATAGTGGAGTGTAGACTTCAAAATGACATATCTCACTCGTTCGGCCTCCAATGTAGTCCATCAAATCCTACGTGATTGTGGAATGATTTTATACATAATTTCTTGCCCATAATTTTAGAGTGATTCGGGCGTATTTGTACATGTTTTTACCCATTAATATCTTGTTTGTTTGAACGAGGTAATCATTGTTCACCGATCCATTTTCTACTAGGTTGTACTTCTTTTCTCACATTTCATGTCTTAGTATGTGTGGGAAGCTTAGAGATGAGTTTCGGGACATTAGGGGGGCCAAAATGAGCCAAAAGTGAAGGTTTTGCATGGTTCGGGACATTAGGGTGCAATGTTCATGGTTTGGGGGCGTGAAAATTACCCCAAGACCGCGAAACACACATATTTAAGCAACCTTAGTGCATCTCTCGGGCATGGTCACACTTCATGCCCTTGGGGCGTGAAAATAACAATAAAATTGTGAAGTATGCACAAAATGTTGAGTTTTCAGTTGAGATCAAATTTTGTATTGCTTACGACCATGAAGTACACACCAAAACTGTGATCCTTGAACTGCTACGAGTATAAATTGACAGCATCGGGCTTTTGGGAAGGAGAACTGGGATTTTACCCAAAAACATCCAAGGGGTGATTCTAGAGAGAGGACCTACAATGCTTCTTAGAGCTATTTTGGAGGATCAAATAACAATAGAAGGTTGAATATAATCCTATAGATGTTGGTTTGATTATTGATGTATGTGATAAACCCTATGATAGTAAACTCTTATTGTCTATTGATTTGAGTATTTATCATGCAACTGATGGAACTTGATCTCATCCTTCAATTTAGGGTTTTTTTATTTAGGAGGGAGAATACTCTCTAAGTTGAATAGAGCACTACAAATTCATCACTATGAGTCTTTGACTGAGTGTGATAGGATTCATAGTGCCATCTTCCAGTTTGTCCACTTGTGGGAGTTGGTTGTGAACACCTCAATTGCCTAGGTCAGTTGTATGGTACGCCCCTACGAGAAGTGCAATTGAGCAGGGTTGGACACACTCGAATAAGAGATCCAACTTAGTATAGAATTCTCTGCGGTATAAGTATTGAGTCAATCAATCTAGGATAGTACTCAACATCTATCTAATTTAGGAGCTAGGAGGATTCATGCCTAACTAAGCTCCTGACCTTGTAATTAGCTAGGGTAGTAGTTAGGTTATTGTAGTTAGCTTATTGTTAATAAATATTTTTGTTTCGCTAGATAACAAATCTTAGTCGAAGTAAACATACATCGAGAGGCCCTTGATTCGATAATTTTATTATTTTGCTTATCATATACTACACCCAGTCATCGGTTACAATCGGCCTCTGATTTGGAATTGTAGTTAGGTCGGGACAAGTTTTTGGCGCTATTGTCTGGGACATTATAGGTTATCGGGATAATACTCGAATTTTACCCCATACTTATTTGTGGTGCATCGTCTATTTATGTAGACTTGACGTGGTAAGATATTGATTGTACTAAGCTACATACCGACCCCATTTGCTATAAGCGCACAAGACTCCTTCCTTTGAGGCAGAGTTCGGGAACTCGAAAGTAATGGTACGAAGCACCAACCCACACGTTTTTTTTAAAGATGGATCCAAGTCTCATGACAAGGACATCATTCATAGCCCTTACACTAGTCTCCCTTAGATCCTCGTATTAACGTAGAAACAAGCAATTCAAAGTCTGACAAACTTCAATCTTGCTTTGGGGGTGTGGCATTACTTGGAGTTTTCAAATTTATGCGCAAATGCACACACAAAATTCCTTTACCATACACAGAATAAGCATGTGACTGACTTGGGAGGCTCATCCCGCCGTCCTCCCGGCCGTGAGCCAACCCGTGAAAATTAGGGGACAGATTTGACGATTGGGGGTTAAAATTGCAGAGCGATTCACAGTCGAAGTCATAGAGTATCGAAAAAGGTAGAAATAAGTTACCATATTGCCGAAATGCATGTCAATCGGACTATTTCCGTGATGTTTGGTTTTCCTACGAGCAACGAAAAATGTAAAACGGAGAAAGCAAGTGCGTCATCTACTCCTGTACGTCAAAACCTAAGAGGCTCGCCTAAGTGGCTCTCTTGAGGCAATCCAACTCGAGAAGAGCCAAGAGTCGACAATGCTAGGCGACATGCCAAAAGAAAATCCATATATAGTGGCATTCAAATCATGATGTCATAAGCGACAAACACGATTGAAAGACATATGAAGGTGTAATGGCGACACTCTGACTCTCCGAATGAAGGAGAGTGACACATTAATTAGGGCCTACCCGAAATACCCTCGTGTATAAACGTGAGGTGTTCATGAAGAGAGTGCCAATAAAAGATGCCCAATTGTTCACCCCAAACTTTAGTTCTTTTCGCGTCAAAACTTTGAAGGGGCTTAGACGCGGAAATTGAAACCAATATCGAGCTAGAACCTATGAATGCTCATTATGGGTCATGGCACAAGTAAAGTGTAACCAACCTCGATCCACAAACGCAAAACAATCATCACTTAATGAATACAATTAAAGTATCTCATTATTTTGTTTGTCGGTTATCATGTGAGGAAAAAACAAGCAGAAACTGCAAGGTGTAGCCATGAACCGGAGGTGCCTACGTACGTGCTGCTAAGTCCTTATTGAAGATGACACTTGGCAAGTTTTTTGGTTTTTCCTCTTCCTCTTTTGTCGTAAGCTGAGCAATGTATTTGTTTTGGGTGAATAAGCTAGGCTATGCTATGTTTACGGTTGGAAAGTTCGTCCAGATAACACCACAATTTTACTATTCTGTCCTCCTGCAAACTCTACGGTGCCAATGATATTTGGCGGGGACATCATGAACATCGTCGAAATTCACCATTATTAGATGTATGCATCATAATTATTTACAAATCATTGTCGTGTGCATTTAATATTTAAGTATCTCACAAACCAAGCACCTCACTATAGTTAGCCAAAGCACGGTATTTAGTCCAGTAGAACTAAGGAACAAGAACAGGAATCCTGTAAATACATGTTTCCTGACAGATATTTTGGTATTCATACTCGTTTCATGACAAGTTGGGTCTAAATTGAGTATCTTACTCAAACATAAATTATGTCATGATAAATAGAGTTAAATTATTCAAGAATTATAAATACATATCACCTTATTACTATAACTTCATTACAATTAAAATATAATTAAATTAAATTAAATTCCAAAATAATATAAATAAAATTATATATATAATTTTTTATATTTTAGACAAAACGAATTGAGAATGAGACAGGTCAGGATGAATTGAACATGTCAAGAACCAGTTGATCCCAATAACTCGAGTTGTTGGGAGAAGTTCAATCATGGATCATATACCACAACACTAACACGCCCCCTCAAACGAAAGCCACTCACAAGGGCTTGAAGTTTGCACAGGTCTGAAGACAAGAATACCATGTGCTTAACAAATGGGGGTCACTGGGAATCGAACACAAGACCTCTCGGTCACAGAAAGCTCTGATAATATGTCAAGAACCAGTTGATCCCAATAACTCAAGTTGTTGGGAGAGGTTCAATCGTGGATCATATACCACAACACTAACAAAACACCCGCTCCGGCCCTAAATAATAGATCAAACAAGAGGGATAATTGAAACTGACAATGATAAGTTGATACATTAATCGACATATTACCGTACGAGTAGCGCACGATTTGTTTCGTTATTGAATATTAAAACAAAGACAAAAACCTCCCACAAGCATTATGAAACTTAGATACAATTTGGCAGCCTTCGCCGCGGCAGGGTGGGGGCAAAAACATTAAAAAAAAAAATACACATTACATTAATCAAAGCAAAGACCATGCAGGCAGACGGGTCAATTGACCAAGTCGGAAACCCAGTCAATCTGCGGCAATTCATCCGTCGGCGGCTCAATCTGCCGGCGGTGAACCGAAAAAACCCGATCACCACCATCATCATCATCATCAGTATCCTGCTCCTCTTCTTCTTCCTCACCACTAATGCTCAATTTCCGCAAGCTGTTCAGAAACTCGGACACACCATCGAAGTAACTCCCCCCGTCCAGCCTCATCGGCGTCCAGAAGACCTCCTCCGATCCCGTCGGGGCCGCCGCCGTGCGGAAGTAGCAACAACCGTCGTTCTCCAGCTCAGCCGCCGATCCAGAACCCTGCCGAGTGACGACACCGTTATTATTGGCAGCTGCAGTAGAATTATCGAGCAGCAGCAGCAAGGGCGGCGCGGCGGCGGTATCCCCCGGGCGGATGAGCTTGCGACGGTGGTGGAAAGAGGCGGAGGAGGAGGAGGAGTACTTGTTGTGGTGGTTGTGGTTGTCGGGTCGGACCTGGTCCGGGGAGTGGGCGAAGAAGCAGACCTTGCGCTGGCAGAAGGGCCCGGAGTTGCAGGGTCGGGTGCGGTAGCGGGCCGGGTGGAGCCAGTACTCGAAGACGCCGTGGGCGAAGTCGCAGAGGTCGCCGTTGGGGCAGGCGCCGTTGCGGAACCACGGGCAGGCGACGGCGGAGTAGGGGACCTTGCGGGGGTCCCGGCGCGTGGCCTTCTCGCCCTTGTGGGCGTAGGGGCAGTCCGTCCAGTCGTGGCTCCGGGTCCGGTTGCACCGCTTGATCTTGAACCCGTACATCCGGAACTCGTCCGACCCGAATATCTGCTCCTCGATGCTGCTGCCGCTGCCGCGGTGGTGGTTGTGGTTGCCGATGTGGGCCTGCAGGCGGCGGTGCTGGCTGTCGTCGGCTGGGCGTGGACCCGGCATTTTGTCGCGGGTCAGCAGGATGAAACCGGCGGGGTGAACTGCAGTAGTATTGCTCTGCATGACGTTAACTCCACACCAACTTACGGTTAGGAAAAAAATGTTTAGCAATCAATTTTGAGATGATGAAATTGGGGCTTTCCCCCAATTCAAACAATGTGGAGTGAAACTACATGAAGGAGAAGAAGGAAGCATTGAGAGAGGAAATTGTAACTACTGAAATACGGGTAGAAATCTGAGTATAGACTGTTACGAACAGCTCCTCCATAGCTATTAATTAAAACTAATTATTTGTATAAGAATTGGTCTGTTTTGTTGGTGGCGGAGAGGCAGGGGATTGCATTTATAGAGTGGAGCTAGCTAATAGTGACACATACATGCAAAAAGCAGTCACACAGTTGGTACGAGACACGTTGATGGTAAGGGAGGTTATATAACTCATAAACTCGTAGCATCATATACAATTACATATGAATTTTGTAATAAATTTGAAAAATATAGTAGTTGTTAATATTTTATACTCTCTCATCAACTTAAATTTAGCTTAAATTTTTACCCCCGCTCGTTCAAATTTTTGGTTACGCTGTCATAACCGGGTCGCTCATTAGTACGATATTGTCAGCTTTGGGCGCCAAGCCCGCACGATTTTACTCTTCGGTGTCCTCCCCAAAAGGCCTCGTACTAATGAGATTGGTGGACACTAATATACAAGGGTGTTCCTTCCCTTGTATTACCGATGTAGTACTTGGGATTGTCCCGTAACATACGCCACCAGATAATGTCCCACTAACCCGTGGGGCGAGTCAAGTTGTAGAGAGTGAGCGGTTAGTTCGGGGGTAACGGCGAGAGAGGGGACTGCAGTTTTTGCATCATACATTTGTAAGGCGCGGGAGGAAAGGGAGGGACGCCGTGCTGCTCTCTGCTTGGCCAGCTCTCTGCCTCGCTAGCTACGTAACTCCACTGGAAAAAGGCAGGGGAAAGCGGGGGGAAACGGCGTCGTTTTGCTGCATGCGCATGCATGCCGTTTGTGGGGGTACACATCACACGTGGTGGTATGGTAGGAAAGAGGGACTCTGGCACGGGGCGGGTCTTGTAATTATGTGTGTTATCACGTCCAAATGGCCATTGGATGGGAGATGGGAGTTAGAGGCTGGGCACTGCTTGTCTGCTTACCGTGCTCATGTTCAACCAAGATTAGTTCGGCTTTATTTTGTGTCAACCCTAATCCGTATATTTATATAGGCTGGGAAAATAGACCAGACTGTTAGAAAAACCGTGGTCCAAACCAGACTGTTTTGATCTCTTGGTCTGGTCTGGTCTAGACCGCGGTTTACCGGAACAAACCGTGGACCCAACCGACTTGTCAATACGTGTTAACAGCCCATTCGACCACTCTCCCAACTCTCCCAACGATACCCAAGTCTCAACCTTAGTTTTGGGAATCTCGTCCCTCCTTCATTCATAACCACATTTAACCAGAGAGTAGAAATAATTGTGTCTCCACATTTAACCAGAGGCCGATCATTTGTTGAACATAGCAAAATGGAAAATGATACATTTGGTCGACCATTTCAATTTTCAACAATGAGGTCGACCATTTTTGTCCAAATAGATCGACCATATCAGTGAAGAGATCGACCGTTTTGTTTAAGTCATGGTGACTTGCAAATCACCGTAGCAAAGTCTTATCTTTTTTATTATGGTTATCAAGGATAATTGCAAAGTCCAATTTGTATCGTTGGCTGGAAACTATATATATTGACTTCTACAATTCCTCTCCACCTCAATTCTATATCCACTAAACATAATTTTATACTTTTGCCAAAGGAAAAACAATGGTTCGCGCATCGAAGATTATAGAAGAAGATAATCATATGCATACTAGTATGAATATTTTTTAATGATTTGTGAACAATTACAAGTAGCAGTTGTGTACACTGATTGACACATCTCATTTATAAATTGAAGGTTGTTTTGCATGAAACTTTTGATCAATTAAAGATTAGATAACCGTGAATATGATCATTCAAGTGAGGGTTAATTGCATGATTGGTCACTAAAATTATAAAAAACGTTCAAGTTTGATCACTCGAAATATTTAAATCCATTAGTGGTACTTCAATTTACTCAAACCATTCACGTTTGGTCACTCTCCGTCCAACTCCGTTAACTTTGGCTGATGTGGCAGTCAACTCTCAAAGTTGACCGTTAAGTTAGTGACGTGACAACTAAAAAATTATTAAAAATAAAAAAATAAATTTTTATATTTTTCACCTCATTATTACATTAATTAAAAAATAAAAAACCTAATACCCTGCTCACCCAACCTCCACCGCCGCTTCAATCCTTTCCATGTGGAATTTGGTTTTCGATGGATTCTTTGTAGGTTCAACAGATCGGATTTTGAATTCCCCTCCCCCCTTACAGCGGCAAAATTCGGACGTCTAAAATTCAGGGGAAAGTGAAATCGATCAAGAGTGCTTACTAGCTTTTCTCATCTGCCTCCGCGGCGGCGGCTGCTGCCTGCTGCGCGGGCGGCGGCTGCTGCCTGCTGCGCGGGCGGCGGCCGCCGGCGGGAGGCTTGGGACTCAGCGAAGATCGCACAGCAGGTGGAGACCTTGGGGGAAGGCGGATCGACGTTGGGATTAGGCGGCCTTCACGGACCGGTAGGCGCGGCCGCCGGCGGAGTGGCTGCGACGCATCTTGGCCGGCTCCGACGTTTTGACCCGGAGGTTCGTGGTGTCGGTGATAGCATCGGGGGAGGACGACGGATCTCCGCCGCCGGCTGCGGCGGCCGCTGCCCTTTCAGCGTCGGCCTGGCGGCTGAATTCGGCGATGAGCTTGTCGTCCCACACAAGGCCGGAGGATCCCTGGCGGCGATACGACGTCGCGGATCTCTGAAGCCGCCCAGCTCCATTTCTGCCTTCTTCTTCAGGTGGAAATTATGAAAATTTATTTTTTATTTTTAATAATTTTTTAGTTGCCACTTCACTAAGTTAACGGTTAACTTTGAGAGTTGACTGCCACATCAGTCAAAGTTAACGAAGTTGGACCGGAGAGTGACCAAACGTGAACGGTTTGAGTAATCTGAAGTACCACTAATGGATTTAAATATTTCGAGTGACCAAACTTGAACGTTTTTTGTAATCTCAGTGACTAACCATGCAATTAACCCTTCAAGTGATGAAGGCGCAACTCTTATTATTTGATTTTATTGTTCAGCATGGCAAACACGCACTAACTAGTGATCCTCCGATTAAAGAAAACTTGGATAATAGATCATACGAATAAATAGATTAACCTATTGAATAGTAATAGCATATAATAAAAGAAAGGACTTTGCTATGGTGACTTGCAAGTCACCATGACTTGGACAAAATGGTCGGCTATTTGGACAAAATGATCGACCTCTTTGCTGGAATGGTCGGCCAGATGTACTATTTTCCATTTTTCTATGTTTAACAAACGGTTTACTCTTCCAATAAAAGGTTGACCACTTTACAACAAAACGGTCTACCATTTCCATTAAGTAGCTACCTCTTTCACCAAGCGATCTACCACTTTCAATAACCGGTTAACCTAATGAACCATTGCTAATAATATAATCATAAATAATTAGAGTCCAATAATAATAAATATGCTTACTAGTAAGAGATTTAAAATTAGTACAAAGGCTACAAGTATAGATGACAAGTTTCTTGAGTGATTATTCTCCCGTAGATTTGAAAAATATTTTTCATATTTATTTCTTATATTTGACTTACTCTATAGAGACTTTCATCTTTTCTTCAAATTCTAAATTTGTTTGTTTTCATCTTATAATTTTCTTGATGGATCAACTTTGTTGTTAGGAAAATGCTCAAAAAGTAGAGAATAATTGTTATATAATTGTGTCATCTTCACCATCCATATATCTCACATCATCTTGATTTTGTGGATTTTTATTCCATAAGTGTTAAAAGAGGGTGTTGGTTCTTTTTGTCTTGGCCTATAATATGCATAGGGATTTGGTTGTCCATAGGTGATAGGATGTTGCGTTATTACAAAACAATTTTGTATTGTTGGTTTCCTATCGTCCATTATTTTCCTAATATAAGTATAAAGCAACAATCTTATCTTATTAGAGTTCGCCGAAAGCGGAGATCGTTCGCCAAAATAGGTACGTACGTAAACCACTTTACATAATTGATATCATGTTTTAACAGAAAAGGTCTACCTCCTCCAACAAGGGGGTGTAAGTTGAGTTTAAGTGTGTCATATGTCGATTCATTATTGCTAGAAGCTGTAGACTGATTGTATCAAGTGGTAGCGGGTGTAAGTTGAGTTTAAGTGTGTCATATGTCGATTCATTATTGCTAGAAGTTGTAGACTGATTGTATCAAGTGGTAGACCACTTGAAGGTAAATGTGTTATCAGGTCGACCCACTTTCGAAAGTAGTAAACCAATTGACTCAACTGGTGAAAGTGATAGACCATTTCTTGTAAACTGGTCAATCATTTAGTGGAAGAGATCAATCACTTGAAGTTAAGTGTGTCATCAGATCGATCTATTTCCGATCGATCTATTTCCAAAAATGATAAACTGATTGACACAAATGATAGATCACTTAAATGGAATAGATTGACTTTTCTCCAAATTATGATACACTAAAAGAAAGTACAAACGAATTAAATTTACCATCCAATGGACAAACACAAAACTAGTACCATAAAAGTGAAAAATTAAAAATTAATACTTTAAAACATTGTAAAAGGTAAAATTCCTTTGAACATTGTAATTATTCGAAGCTAGTTATATCCCACCTACTTTTTATTAGTACTCTTTACGGGAACTCTTCATGAATCCTCAACCTAACCTACCTCTTCTATGCATCCGTGACAAATGTTCGGGACCTTCCTTCACACAAGAAGATTGGTTTTGTAATTACCTTCCAATCGTATTTCTAATATGTTCGTGATATTCCTTTATGGAAGAAGATTGGTTTCCCAAAATTGGTTTCTGTAACTTCTAATATGTAAATGGATCTGGCTGCACAAAATAGGATTGGTTTTGCAAGGGCTTGAGCATCGCCAATTGGAACCGATTGTGAAAGAACTTAATTAAGGATGTCAAACAACTTTTGAGCCTTCACTTCTGTTCCTTCTGTTCAGTCAAAAGATTAGGTCGATATCTCCATAGGCTTTGGGTTTTCCTGCCCTTAATTAACCAGGGAGGGGCAGTGGCTCAACTACTGAAAGAGGCGCCACAACTTAAACACTGTTGGTAAAGCAATTCTGGGAACCAAATCTACAGGCACGCTTTTAGTCGCCGTAACATGCAAGACCCTAGAAATCGTTACCAAGTTGGATCACATTCAATTACATTACAAGGCAGCCACCAAAAATTGCTCATTATTATTTTTAAACTCGAGAAACATACGAAAAAAAGACACGCAACACGAGAATATAAACCCAGGGGGAGATACAAAAGGAACAAAGACGCTTAAGCAACCAAATATGAACCCTCAAAATCTGACAAACTTCCACATAGCCCGCACACTTCATATTCCATCATCAACATCCTTCATCTGCGGCCGGGCCACGACTCGCCATTACTTACTCTAGCTAGCTAACATGCATTATGCATAGCTGCCTGCGAGTCCCCTTATTTCTAAGAGGTCTGCTGACCGGTAACATGCTGCTGCCCGAACTCCGTCGCCCTATCCTTCATTTCTCTTGCCTTCCCAGCTAGCTTCATCCTAGCTTGGTCGAGGGAATCCGCTCCCGGTGGGTGCCTCCCCGTCACATACCTTCCATACCCCCAACAAAAAAAAAAATCAAAAACCAAGTCATGTCATATTTACGACGCGCGCGCGAATTGAAGGCATAATCTTAAATTACAAGCTAACATTCACTTACCTGTAGATCCAGGACAGAACGGTGATGGCTGCAATGCCGAATCCACCGGAGGCCAAGAAGCCTGTGATGAGGAGACCGACGGTGATGAGAGCAGGGACGAGGACGGGGCTGAAGATGACGAGGAGAGGAGTGGCTATGGTCAGCATAATCACGGTGGCCGCGAGGATAAGGCCCGAAAGGACGAGCATCGATCCTCCAGCGGTGGCCGCAGTGGCAGCCTTGACCACTTGGTAAGACCGGGGCTGCTGCTGCTGCATTGTGCCGCCGTGCTGCTGGTGCTGCGACTGGTCCATTATTTGCTTATCACCTAAAAATGGATTTGCGTAGTCTGTCGAACAAAGTGTTTGTTACTGGTATTTTGAGCTAGCGGAAAGGGGAAAGAAGAGATGGGAGGTTGTTTTGTGGAGGGAGAGGGGTGTGGATTTATACAAAGAGGAGACTTAACAGAGACGGTGGGGTGGTGAGGTGGAGAGGACACGTGTCGAAAGGTTGGGGCACGTGGTGAGCAGCTTGTCATGCAGGGGTTGCATGAACCGTCAGAAATTGTTGTCTTTGGACACGTTTTGCTTTTAGAGGGCCTCGACCACCTACTCGTTTTCTATTTTTCCTTTTGTTCTCCTTTCGTCTGGATGATGCCGTTCCAAAGCAGTGTGATAATAAAATAATTAACAGAGGGGATTTGGACACGAAGCTGAACCATTTGAAGCTCTTGTGAGTTGTGACTATCCAAGCCCTGCAGCATCATATATCACATTCACAACTATAGCTTTGAGGCGCTCCATCAGTTGACCGAAAAGAGGTTGTTTAAAGTGGAGTTAATTTGTGTCTCTCACGATAGTAATTTTAACTCCCATTAAATTTTTGTGTATTTGAATTTTTGCAAAATTAAACATTGGTATAGTTAAGTAACTCAGGGGAATAATGGTTGTACATGAGTCATTAATTTATGATCGTATTGAAATTAAACATTGTCCTAATAATTACATGAAATTGAAATTCTTTGTATTGGAGTCCTCCTTTAGTTGTCTGCTCTGTAGTTGGTTATTCTCTAGCTAGCTGGTTGCTTTCCAACCGGATGCTCACTCGGTCTTTAATTCTCTACGGCTTGGTGAGTGGGTTGTGGTCCGTCTACGATGCTACTAAAAGCCTCAGAACATTTGAGGCTTTTCCTATAAGTGTTCATCTTAAAACTGTGGGGGATGTTATCGCTTCCACCATTTAAGTTTAACATTAAAAAATGTGGGAGTTGTTATTACTCGCTACTCTGAAAAACTTAAATCTTAGATCGACTCAGGGATGCACTCACTAACTAGTACAGCTGCCCAACTAATACGTATGAGGGCCTACTCAGCCCTATCCTTATTCTAATCCTTTGTGTAGGTTTTATTGATTCATTCTCATAACCTTAAGAGCATTTTGTGCCCTTCCTTTGAACTTCAACTAGGACGGGAGAATCGCGTTATTGAATTACCTCTTAACCTTTTTACCTTAATAATATAACGGTAAAGAGCTACTAATACTTGATCGTAAAGATCGTAACCACTCTAATAGTAAAACGGAAATTTAACTGCTAACGGGTAGTTATTGAAAACTCATAGACAAATGTCTCAAACGAAGGGCATGAATTATCAAACACAAACGTAGTCTCAGACATACATACTAAAACATTCATAACTTTAAACACTGGCATGCAACTTCACGTAAAACATACAACTTAAAACTTGTAACGCGTAGAATTTACTTCATTAAGCCACTCATCTCTTAATTGGCGGTTCCTCAATTCCTCTTACATAGAACCCTTAATCTAACTGCTCTTCCTATAACCGATAACATTTCCTTCTTAGTCGGTATTCCTTTAACTTAGCCCCTTAAACTTACTGGAAAATTTTCTCCTTAAAACTTAATCCCACAAGAATCCATGGCTCTTTGGTGTCTTGGTCGAGGTGGTGGACTGCATCCCAAAGGGGGAGTCTATCGTACTTCTTAGGCTTGACATACACCGCTGTGAGAAGTATGGATTCATTATCCGGCTTCGTACATCTCACGTGACGGTACTGTTCATGTCGATCCAGAACATCAATCTTTAATTGGCTCTCGTTCCATAAGATCCAAATTCCGCCTGAAAAACCAACAGCATCAGAAAGATCAAAATGATCAAATCCCAACGACCCAATCAATTCCAATGCGTCATCACCATTGATGTGTGGTTCAACAATGATAGTGATGTTCGGAGAGTGTAGATGAGTATAGTATTTAAACGAGGAAACGAACTTTGGGTGTTTAGCCCCTTTTGCAATTCCAAAATATATATGTATAGGAAAGAAATAACTCCCTGGCAGGCAGCGACACACGTCGCAGTTTAATTAGGGAGTCTAGCATCCACAACACTATTCCCTTCCTTTTGCAAATCAGTTACTCCAGAATCAGGGCAATCGAACCAACTTTCTTTTGCTCCATCTTCCCCTTACGTCTCAATCAGATGACCATTTCCTTTTTTTATCCAAGATAAGCCCCCAGGGCATGGCCGGACGACAAGATACAAAATACATGATAATAAAGAACGTTAGCCCGTATGCAACCGAACTCCCGATAAAAGAGCCTGTTATACCACTAGTGGACAGCTCTAAGAAAGCTTCAAGGAGCGAAAAGACACGAAACTGACACAGGGACATGAAGAGAGAAAAAAAACTTCCTTGTAAATGGCTCCGGCTCCGGGAAGGGAAGACTTCCTCGATGAATCCATGATGATCAGTTGAGAATCCACACAACATGTGACAATCAATACATTAGTAAGATACCATCTTGTAGCATCACTAAGGACAAGTAATTTTGATATATAAATATTGATAATATCATAATAGGATTTAAAAAAACAATTGAAAGAGTTCCATCACCTTAGAAGTTGATGGAGTCTGTGGACATTCTTGAGAATTCTTTGGTATGACTAAATCACCATGGAAGAGGTAAACTCGAGACTAGCTTTGTGTCACAACTCACAAGTTGAAGATGGGCTCGACCAAAATAATTGAACAGAAAAAATAATGAAAGAAAATAAAAATAAAATTCTAACAGAAAATAGAATGAAAGATACATTTCCTTGATCTGGCAGGACGTTTGGATTTCTCTTGCTGGTGACTGCTACGATTGGCTGGTTCGACAGAAGGTTGCTACCGGAGGAGGTTTTCATCGGGGTGGAGCCGATTTGATGATTGCGGTCCATGGAACAGCCTTTCACCGAACTTAGTTGGGCTTTTTGGATCTTGTTTGGTGGGGTGTGGAAATTAGCTTCCTAGTTTGAGTTTCAGGTTGGAAGACCATACTAGGCTTAGTAGTCGATGGAGAGTTACTGTTGGAGACTTTCCTTGATCCTATTTTGTGGACCCTACACGGTTTGTCTCACGTTGGTGGGTCGAAGCGCGTTTCGATCCATTAGTTTTCTCCATTTGCTTAGCCGAACTGATTGGTTTTGCAACGGTCTCCGAGACTTTTGCTCCTTCTTTTTCCGATTTACTTCTCCTTTCTTCCTGCTGATACTCTATATTACTTCCTTTTCTACTCTCATCAGTTCCCTTTTTTTTAGTGATCCTCTCATCAATTGGTCCTTCCTCTTCTGGAATTCTTTCCTTTCCCATTCTTCCTCTGAAGATACTTTCCGTCCCATTCTCCTCCATTTCTCTCGAATCCGAGGATCTCGTCTCAAGAGCCAAACATCATGATCGTGTCGTCGTGTTTCCAGTCGCAGTGGGATTAGCTCCTCCATGATGACTAGTTTCCTTTTTTGGATGGTCCTCTTTTATTGGTCCGAGTTGGTCGTCGGTGGGATTTCTTGGCCAACATACATCGTCCAGAATCTTCAGTAACTTCAGGCTGGATGGGCTTACTGCCGTTTGTATTGAACATTGGGTTGGATTCGGTCATGGAATTTTTCCTGCATTTTATCGTTGGCTACATTCCTGGTACATGTTTCTTGCAGATGACCATAGCAACCACACTCGAAGCAAATGACATGGAGGCCTTCGTATGCAATTCTTTGAACCCTGCGCTTGAGGCGGTAATTGGATACGAGACGCTTGTTGAGGTCAAGCTCAACAGAGATACATGCGTAGTTTCCTTTGGTACAGTTCAAAGTGTTCTAGTCGATCTTCACTACACGTCAAATCTTACTCCCAATGTCCATTAGGATTTCTGTATCGAAATAGCCCATCGAAAGTCTTGTCAGTGTGACTCTAACTTTCATGTAGTCGATAGTATCATAGTCTGGGCCAAAATAAAGGCGTCATTCAGTGGTTATAATGTAATGGTCGTCGTCGAGCTTGACACCACCAAATAGAGCATGATCATAATCTTCAGCAACGCCAAAACGAACTGAGAAAAAAACCAACGCCCGGATCCGCAACACCGAAACCCCCCTTCCTTGACACATTATTTAGATTTTCTTCGTCAAGATTGGGAAGGGATAGTATCTACCCAAGATATTACAAATCAGGGCGTTGCCCCATCGACTCCGGATCCTGCTCTCTTTTGATCGTTTGACACAAATTGTTGGGCATTCAGGGTCATCTTTAACATCCTCAGTGTCGCATTCGTCAAGCATAAGGTCTTGTAGAGTGGTGGATATTCATTGGTGGTTTGATGCCGGAGACTAATTCGTTGTACGAAGGCTTCGCTGTGATTGTTGGGGCTCCCTCTACCAATAGCTCCACGGCAGCGAGAGTCTCTATTTCTAGATTCATGGGCTAGAGCTAGTGAAAAATTCTTTCGAAAACTATTTTAGTTTCTTATTCTGCTGGATTGAGGATGTTTTGGGTGAGGAATCGGGTGGCTACGGTGAGAGGCCTTCCACCGGTGGCCGCATCGTAGACATTTTCAGAGAGATTTTTTTGGGTTATAGGTATAATATGCCCCTCTACTATGACGTTTTATCAAACATGCCCCTCTATTATTTTTTACATCAAATATGCCCCTGTACTTTGAAACAATTATCAAACATGCCCTTATGCTAAAATTTCCATTGAAAAAATCGTCAATCATGGTTGAATTGAGATTTAGACGACCCGGCATCGGCAAATGGGAGGGAAAATGCCAGCTTTGTCCCCTGTTTTATTTCCCTAGGTCTTTTCAAAGTGAAATTATTGGAATGATTTGATTATACAAAAGAACCAAAAAAAATCTAAAGTGAATTTATTAGGGATATTTTAGTCATTTGTGTCGCCCAAACTAAAGTTCGGCCTTGATTAACGGTTTTTGGATGAAAATTTTAACAAAAGAGCATGTTTGATCATGTTTACAAAGTACAATGACATGTTTGATGTAAAAAATAGTAAAGGGGCATATTTGATAAAACGTCATAACTTTTTTTTCTATATAACATATTACATCTCCCTACAGTTTTGAGCATGAAAATGAATGCTATTTTAAAACCGTTATTCAACAATTATATATATGAAAATCGACCCCACCCGAACCCTTTTTCCATTCTATCTAGAAAAGATGCGATTCATGGGCCTGCGCTCGGGCTGCGATACAAAATAGCAGTATATAAAATTGGTAAAGCCCATTAATGCTGGCCCGAACAGAACTACTATAACATCCATGGATCCAGTACTATATAAGCTGAAGGTCTTCTTCCCGTCCATCCTCTCGCAAAACCCTAACTTCCCCTTGCTCACTCGTTGGTGGCGCCAGATCTCTCTACATCGTCGGTTGAGGTGCGTACACACTGGAAACGAGATTTATAAAATCGCTGAGCTCGATTTTGCTCCATTTGATCCTTGTGACTGCCCTTGTACTCTTGTATAGAGATTCTGTGCTTTTCATTTATGCAATGTTCTCTTCATTGGCTCTGTTTGATTTCCGTTCTAGGCAGACTTTGAATTCTTTTTAGCTAGCCTCGTTGGGTCTCCGATGTTGGAAATGATGAGCACCCATTAACGTTTGTATAGTTGAAGGTCGGGGTTGCCTTGTTCCTTATACGAATAGCTGTTTTTATGACTGAATCGAAGCCAGATCAATAGATTGTTCTCTAACCTTACTACCAATTTCGAATCCTCAATCGCTCAATTATAAAAAGAGTTCACCTTTCTGTGTGTTTATTGCTTCGATATGGTAGATGAGAGTAGTGGGCGAGTGTTAATTTCCAATTGGTTTTGGTTTCTATATTTTACCCTCTGTGTTGTTGCTGTGCAAATTTGGGTCTAAGCCTTCTGGATAGTATTTAACACTTAGCTTTTGATATTTCTCTGCCAGCTCCAATGGTGAGAGTTAGTGTTTTGAACGATGCTCTCAAGAGCATGTACAATGCAGAGAAGCGTGGAAAGCGCCAGGTCATGATCCGACCTTCCTCAAAAGTGATCATAAAGTTTCTTATTGTCATGCAAAAGCATGGTATGGGTCTGGCTTTTCTCATCCTTTATATTGGATCCGCCTTAATCACTTAATCTTTAATGGCTTCATTTGTTGTATGCAGGATACATTGGTGAATTTGAATATGTTGATGATCACAGGGCTGGTAAAATTGTTGTTGAGTTGAATGGGAGGCTAAACAAGTGTGGTGTCATCAGTCCTAGATTTGACGTCGGTGTCAAGGAGATTGAAGGTTGGACTGCTAGGTTGCTTCCGTCTAGACAGGTGATTTGCAGTGCTTTCCTTGCTCTGGTTGTATGAGTCGTCTAATGTGGTTAAAACAAATGTTTATTTACGATCTTGAAGAATTGTCAAACTACTAGTAGCATAGTTGTTGTTGTTGTTGTTGTTGTAAGTATGGTGACCTATATTCATAATTCATGTTCATATGTGATTTTGCAGTTTGGATTCATTGTGCTGACAACTTCTGCTGGAATTATGGACCACGAGGAGGCAAGGAGGAAGAATGTTGGCGGCAAAGTGCTTGGTTTCTTTTACTAGGCTTATTGCGGCTTCACGTTTTTTTTGGGTGCTCGGTGAGGAGTTTGTTTCTGGTTATGGAGTTTTGGTCCATGTGATTTACTATAGGATACCTAATTTTGTTGTCTGGTTTAGGCTTTTCTCAACTTGGTTGTAGTTGAATCATCGACCTGGACAAATGGAAAGGATTGAAGCACAATGAACTTGTCTGCCGTCGCATTTATTTGAATGTTAAATGCTTTCTTACTAGCTGAGCTTTGTTTATGCTAGATTTAGCCCATTTTGAGGAGTGATGGATCCATTTAGTGTTATATTTGCTTGATTAAATTGTGTTTATGAACTATATAGGCAACGATTTCGACACCCTGATACTATAGTAATCCTTCACAAAATTATTTGGCTGTGAACTGAATGTGCAGAAGATGTTACAAAGAGAAGTGGCCGTTTTGCGACTGTTCTCTGAAGGAATGATGGAAACATATAGAAGTAACAGTCCACGTAGCAGTGGTGACTGTATTAAGGAATGATTTAAGAGGAATTTTACAATGATTTAGAGTATTGGTGCTTTAATTTTTGCCTTAATGGTGCTTTAATTTCACAAAGTGAGGAAGGTGTGTTGTTTTTCTCCTCTGGTGTAAAATCTATAAAGAGGCCCTGTAGGTTTACAACAGCTGGGTTACTGTCGTTCCCAGTAGCGGGAGCTCGTACAAAGCAAGAAAAGAAAAATGCACTAAACGGTTACAACCTCACGAATAAGAAAATGCCACATATCCTATCCATTGTCTTCACGATGCCATTCCACTAACTAGTCTTCCTTGTGCTGGTCTTTGTTTCAAGTCTCCATAGCCATACTTAGAAGCAAAAGAAAGTACTTTTGTTACCCCTCCCACAAGCTGGTGAGCTCACGCTCTCCACACCTAGTTTGAAGAGAATATACGAAAAGAGTCTTGGTGGCAATGCTTTGGTAAGGTTGACCGTGATTTAATGACTTGTTCGAAAACTAACAACTTCCATAGTTCCTTTCCTAGAAACTTGCATTTTCTGTAATGTAGATTACACATTGGCTGTCACAATAGAGTGATGCTGGTTTGGGATGGTGAACCTAAAAGTCTTGAAGGAAATAGAAAAGTCATTGAACCGCACAAGTTGTACATGCTAATGCTCGATATTTAGCTTCACATGAAGATCGAGACATTCTTGATTTCTTATTGGACTTCCACGAAATGAGTGAATCTCCAAGTAATACACAATAGCCGATTACTAATCTCCTTGTATATGGACAAGTTGCTCAGTGTATAAGGAAAAAACAATCCGGTCGCAGGAGTTTTCTTGAGAAACCTAAGTATTCTATACACGACCTTTTGATGGTTTTCTGTTGGAGCATGCATAAATTTACTTACTTGTTATGTTGCAAAGCTTATATAAGGTCGCGTTGTTGTCAAGTAGATAATTTTCTAACTAGCTTCTGACACTTAGCATGATCAACAAGTGCAGCTCCATCTGATGCACTTAGAATCAGTTCTAGTCCATAGGAGTGGTGATGAGTTTTCTTTCCAAGAAACCTGCATCATAAACGGTTTTCAGAGTATCCTTCCTTTGTGAAATGTGAATCCCTTTAGGAATTCTTGAAACTTCAACTCCCAAGAAGAATTTGAGGATGCCAAGATCTTTTATGTTAAAAGTGCTATGAAGAAAATGTTCTAGCTAGTTAGTCATAGCCATATCATTCCTCCCACGATTAAATCGTCAACATAGATAAGAACAACAATGAAAGAGGACTAGTCATAGCCATATCATTCCTCCCACGATTAAATCAGCCAACCCAACATGACCCTACCCGTAATCCGAGGCCCCAACCCGACTTGATTGTCATGTCTAATTGTGTCACTTGAATTGCTTATGGGTTGAACCCATTTTAAAAGGATAAGATCTATCCCTATCAAAGAAAACCAATTACATGATCACTGAGTTGGTAGATATAGTTAGGAGGGGAGCTTGGAGACGTGATAATTGCACTACTTTCCATTTTAACAATTCTCGCACCATAATTTGCCATAGATGGTCGTATTCATATGATACAATGCATTACCTAATGTGTTAGGGGAGGAAACCAAACCCGATATATCGTTTCTCTTTTCTGCATAGTTGTGTAGCAGTTAGCGTGAATCATAAATCCCAAATACAACCTAACGAATCGACTAGATAACGACTAAGCTCTCGAGTAATGCTTTAATCCGGGATGATAGAATACGAACTCGGTCACCATCGTACTACATCGTTTAGCTAGGTTATACCTGGCCTAGTTAGGGTAGTAGGATAGTCCGCACTTAGCACCTATTTTATTAATTGAATGTGTAGCCGTAAGGAGAATACCAGGTTTTTGTCGTCTTTGCCGGTAAGATTATGTAGCTAGTGTAAATGGAATAAATTTGTTACCTCAGTCATTTATTCTTTTTTGCATTGTAGATATTCGTTTTGTAAAATGTAGTTGTTTTCATTGGATATTGAGATTGAGATAAATCTTTCTGGATTTGGAAAAACAATGCGAAGGCAAGCACCGGAAGAAGGGCTATACAACTGAGATACAACAACATAAGTAAATACCTCCTGGGAATTTATAGGGAGCTCAAGCAAGGACTATGGGTTCTTATACAAGACCATTGTGGAAGGTGTGCAATCTCCGATAATACATCCTTAAGTGTTGAACAACAACTTCGAGATTAAGATCGGAGTAATATCAATGATTTAGACTTCGATTCAGTTTCACGGGTTGAAGAATGAAGATGGACATGCTCATGTGAAGGCTTTCCTATAACTTCTCTTACTGATGTTGTAAATAAGGAACAAGAAATTCTCTAACTAATAATTTTTATTTAGTCACGAGAAAACTCATCAATACAAGTTATACATATGTTGGGTAAAGCTATATTCTATTTTACTAGTGATTGACATCCAGTTACATCAACGGATTTTTCAAGGTAAATACCATCTTAAAAGATGTATAGCCAGTCAAAGGATTTTATTTGTCACGATCGGTACCATCTTAAAAGATATACATCTTCCTAAATAATTTTTACAAGATTTGTGCTCTAAAAATGGTATTAGCCATATAGAGCTTCTCATGATCAATAGACATAAATTATCACGAGATACTATCCTTGACTAGTTATAACTCATTACAATACAGATTTTCTGTGACCTTTACAATTAAAGACTGAAACTTTATATTATGGTAATCATCTTGTTACTTAAATTATTAAACAATAAAAACCTACATTACGTAATTAAACAAGATGATTACCATAAGTGTATATGTAAACGTTCACTATGTTACTTACGGGACTGGTTACGGTGCTAATTGTACAAGAGTTAGCACCGTCCTAACCAAGGGTTAGTAGTGATTTAGCTTAGATGTTGTATTAATTTTATAATAATCCGTAGTGATTTCGTTGTTTTTAATAGCGTTTTTTGCTAACGGTGCTAACCCCCTATAAGGGTTAGCACCTAATCCCATCCCGTTACTTACTTTCCCAAACACAGGGGTAGGCCACAAATATGACTTCTTGTGCTTTGTAAGACCATCTTCGTTCCTGAAATTGATTATCAATTTCTAAATGTGGTTCTTACAGTTACATCATCAATTTTAGCAATTCATCACTTATCAATTTCTAGTCATCTATATCCCTAAATTATACTAACAATTTCCAATGTGGGTCTCATCTATTATTTTAATCTACCTCAACACATTATTATAATTGAAAAATTAGTAAGTAAGAAAAATAAAAAAGACATAGGAATTGCTAGAAGACTTTCGAATTTAGCAATCTTACTAAGTTAGGAAGCACCTCCACATTCCTATCAATTACTTGAAAAATGCACATAGACTCCACCTCACTTTAGCCATTGCTATGGATTGGGGATGGAGATGGTCTAAAACAGAAAAGGTTAAAAGAAAAGAAAGGCCATAAATGAGAAAGAAGAAACGGAAAAGAAAAGTCAAAACTCAATCAAGGCTGACAACAGTGGGTTATGGGTGTGAGAGAAAGCTGATAGCAATTTTGTAGAGAAGGAACCAAGAAGGGACGGACCGGTGCGGTGTTTGAATGGACTGAAATGGAATCGTTCGTTGTGACAAACTTTGCAATGTTGTCGTCACCAAGTCAACAAGTTCAACTAAGTCACGAATAGTCTCTTTTTCTTTGTTTTTTCCCTAATTTTCTGAAAATGATTTTCTTTTTGCTGTAATAAACGGATGGACTTGCTTGCCTTAGGGGTATATTCATATTGACTATTGTGCTTCACGTTAGTTGTAAAATAGTGGAACGAAATGTTTATAATTATTACAAAATAGATGTTTGTTTTTTAATGTAGTTATTGGAATGTAGAGCTTTCGTTTCAGTTAGTAGAATTATTGTGTTTTTTATTTCTTCAACAACATATATACTAACACATTATATGCTTCACAAATTGTCAAGCAAAGTTTTAACGAGCGTACTTGATTTTTTTAAGAATTTTTTTTTAAGTTATTCATACTCGTATGGATATTCAATGATAGTTTCAATAACTATAACTACTTTGCCGAGAAAAAAGAAAAACTTGAAATGTGAGTAAGAGTTATTATTTGGCGCCGATGGTAAGAGGACTGAGTTTCGAGTTTGGGATGTAACAAGGTTTCAGGTTCGAATTCCAGTACCACCTTCTTGGTGTTCACGGAGGCACCCTTGGTACAGGAGACGAAGTCTCCCCGATAACGGTAGCACAACGCCGGGCACTGCGTCGGGACAAAGTCCTTGATGGTTAGTATGCAGGTACCCCCAGGTTTAGTAGGCTCCGCTGTCACTCATGTGGCATGTGGGTTGCTGATGTTCATGGATTATCAAATAAAAAAAGAGTTATTATTAGGCAAACCATTTTGTTTGACACATTGCATCCTATTTATAGTTATGGCCTTATGGGGTGGTAACTATCTCGATGAATCGTTTCACTTTTTTCCAAATCCAAACTCATCTCAACCGAAGCCGCATACTAAAAAATTTTGATAATATACCAACTAAATATTGGGAAAGAAAAACTCAAACACAACCCAACAAGCACCCACAAGTGTGTTCGCATACGTAATCACAAATAGTTCTTTCCGAACACTCATATTCTTGTATTATTAAAATTTCCCTCATAACTACATTTCCATGAAAACTAATAAAATACCTATATTATCCATGTATCAGCTTGTAGACTATGCAGCAAGTAAGAACATATATGAGCAAAATAAAGATGGGTGATAGTAGTAGTACAAAAAGAACCATTGCGATCATGAGCTTGGTTTCTTACTATGATGATCTGGCAGAGGCAGACCCCAGTTTGGCATTCGTGGCCTGGTCTTTCTTTTGACGAGGAATCAGCTCCACCCATGTCCATGTGTGAAGTAGGCGAGCGGGATTGTCAGCTAGACCTTTAATTATTAGATCAACGCCAGTACTGTTGCTTTTGGGACTGTACCCTATTACTTAATCTCCAAATAATGACCCCCTGGTCGTGAGCAATAATTAGAGGTGTTTTCACAAGTATGCAGGGTCACATAATTAATAAGAGAGTGGTATAAGATTTAATACAATCTTCTCTTAATAACTCGAATTGTTGGGAGAGACTCACATATGATACTATTAATAATTTCCTTACAAGCCCTCTCACACGAAAGTTGTCTCATAGGTTTGAAGTTTGCACATGTCCGTCATACCATGTGTTTGTTGACAACGGTTAATATTGAGGGTCGTGAGAACTTGAACACGTGAACTCGAGTAGTTGGAATCAACTTGTTTATGACAGATCAGCTCATATCTTCCACCTGTTCTTAAAAAAAAAAAAAAGCAAGCAAGCATAAGGAAAACAAACAGAAGGAAGGAAACTCGAAATATTGCCGCGGACGAAACCTCTCTGCTTCTCCGATCCTTGTCTCACGTGGACCGCAAATGGTGATGAGTTTCATCTCCACACCTGCTGGTATGCTTAGTCACGTACGCAAAGTGATTGCCACGGCACTTGGTGAATGGATAACATGAATATCCAACTTTGTAAGTGGGCGAGTTGTTTTAACCTCAACTTGTGTTACTTTTTCCGGTGTGGTTGAAGTTAGTACGTACGAACGACATGATGATGATAATGATGGTAGCCTGGTCCCAGAAGCTTAGCAATTAATCGTAGTCCGTAGAAGCTACCCGGCCACTAATTCGCTTAGAGTTAATTATGAATTCTTGTACTGCTCTGCTAGTCTGCCCTGAATTTAATAACGCTAGCTAGCTAAAGCTAATAGCTAAAATAGTAACGTCGACAATAATCTATGCTGATGGCGAAGCGTAAGACCATCTCCATCCAATTGCTTATTGCTATTGCTTATTGGGTGGAATCCTATGTGGCAATAGCTTTAAGCAATTGCAAGGATGTAACACTTCTTTCTTATTTAGCAAGATTGCTAAGACCATCCACATCAATGAAATACCATTTCTATTTCATATGTGGTCCATACTGCCACATCAACAACTTTTCTCATTTCACTTTATATCAATTCCATTCTCCCCACATCAATGACATACACTTTCTATTTCATATGGTGGGCCCAATTGATTATTTTAATATAACTCTATATTTTATCTAAAAAAATAAAGAGATGAGACAAAACATAGAAAGGGGCCCACATCTACCCCACTTGCTATTCCATTCAGACTTCCATTAAGTGGAAGCTGTCACTTTATGGAATAACCTCTACAACCATGAAATGATAAATGGAAGTGCTATGTCATCAATGGAATGGCTGCAAGACAGCCGATGCAGCTGCTCTTAAGTAATCCCCTTTGCAATGCCACATAAGCAATTGGGACCCACACATTCATGCACTCAAATTCTTTCTTTTTTCTTTCTTTCTTTTCTATCCACTTTGTACACATAAAATGTATTGTTAAGGAAAAGAATATGTAGTAGGTCCCATCAATTGCAATTGCTAACCTATTGCAGGGATGTATGTGATTTGAAATGGTTGAATTGAATAGTTGTTAAAGTTGGTGATGTGGATGTGGGGTTCATTTATGAAATGGCTAACCTATTGGCTATTGCAGTGATGGAAATGGTGGAGACAAAAGGGCGTGGGCCGTGGGTGGAAGGTGGCAGGAAGGAAGGCCCAGAATAGGAGAGGAGATGACACAGACACTGCCTTTCTTTTGTTTAATATTAACAGCAATAATAATACCAGTGGTTTCTTTCTTTCTTTCTTGAGATCGCTGAAATTGGATAACCATGGACCCAGCCCGCAGCCACAAAGTCCAAACCCCTCTCTCCCCTTTTTAATCCCAAAAATACCCCCCCAACTTGGTAACCCAAGGAAGCAATAATGATCCTTCCTCCCTCCCCTTCCCACAAACAGAAGAACAGAAGCTGCCTTGGAAGCATCATCCATTCCATCTCCAACCCTCTCTTTATATAAACTTTCAACACTCCACTCCCTCCTTTAATTTTCCACTCAGAAAAACCTTCCCAACCCTTGAGAGTTTCTCAACACTGTTGAAAAAAAAAAAAAAAACAAATCAAATTGACATGGCGTCCCCTGCAGACCAAGAAGCTTGGACTCTGGATTTCATCAGGCAACAGCTCCTAACCGACTTCCCTTCCATGGATTCCTTCATCTCCCACTTCCAACACCACCAAACCCCTTTGAATTCAACTACTACCGTCAAAACAGAGCAAGAAACCACCCAGCTGAGCAATAACAGCAGCAAGCTGCAGGCTCCCTCTGTTTCTCTGTCTCACTCTCCTTCTTCCAGCTGCAGCAGCACTCTGAGCCAAAGGAAGCCGCCCATGTCCAACATCTCCATCCCAAACACCATCCCCAAGATCCCAGCTCCGGCCCGGACCCAGCTTCACTCGGATCTCGCCAATTCCTCTGCTTCCGACGAAAAGCACTACAGAGGGGTTCGGCGGAGGCCGTGGGGGAAATACGCCGCCGAGATTCGGGATCCCACCAAGAAAGGGGCCAGGGTCTGGCTGGGGACATTCGACACCGCCGTCGAGGCCGCCAAGGCCTACGACAGCGCCGCCTTCCGCCTCCGCGGCAGCAGGGCCATCCTCAATTTCCCACTCGAGGCCGGCAGGAATTCCGACGACTCTTCTTTCCAGGCCCCGCCGGAATCGAGCGACTGTTGCGGCGGCGGGATTAGGAAGAGGAGGATTGGGGAAGTCCTGCTGCAGGATGGTGGCGAGGGGAGTTTAAAAGCGGTGAAGGCGGAGAACGAGTCTTCGCCGGCGGCGGTGGGGCAGGGTGGGGAACCGGTGCCGTTAACGCCGTCGAGCTGGAAGGAGTTCTGGGACGGGGAAGCCAAGGGGATATTTAGCGTCCCGCCGTTATCGCCGTTATCGCCCTATACGTTTTCCCGCCTGATGGCCGTATGATGCGCCGATGGTGGAAAATATTTCCCCCCACAGAAGAGCTTAGGAAAGCGTGCGCGCGGATCATCCGGTGCCGGCTTGGAACGAACACGTGGCAGAGCTTCGGTCGGATGACGTAGGATAGTTTGCCACCTTCATATGTGTAAATAATAAATAAAATAAAAAAATAGACCGCAACTCCATTCCATCTTTGCTTTGGTTGTGCTACCAAATGCCTAGGAGATCGATTGGGATGTGTGTTTCAGATTGTATTTGTTCCTTTATTTGATTCATTTCATGAGTTCAGTTCACCGTTCTTTTCTTATATCTTAATACCGATATATGTTCGGAGCTATATTATTATGTTTATGAGCATCATCCTTTCGTTTAAGGAAAAAAAAAATATATATTATGGTACATACAAAAGATCAGTTTATATCTCTATATATTTTGGTATGCTTTTTTAGTGGTACAGACACATGTGACTTAAGTAACCTTATGGTACAAATTCAAATTGTACTCATACATTTTCTTATATCATACCTAATATATTAAAAGTTATGTCCCTATGTTCATCATCATAATTGTGTTTTGGTTTGAATTTTTTTTTTTCTTATGATACAAACTGAGCTTGCATATCTAATGTTATGGTATCCACTTAGTACATAAATACTTTATTATAAACTTTTTAGTGGTACAAATCGAACATGTAACTTAAATAACCTTATGATACAAATTCAATTTGTATATATACATTTTTAACATTATGATACAAATTCAGTTTATACCTTATTTTTTGTTTATATATTTAAATTTCAATGCTATGTACCAATTTATTTGGTACTTAAGATTTTCGTTTATTTATATATTTAAAGTTCAAATTCCGTTGATTTTTTTTATTATTATTATTTGACACTCAAACATAAGTAAGTGATAGTTTGAAAATTCTCATTTCACCTATCACAAATAATTAACCGGTCATGTGTAGGTGTAGCAGGGGTCTTACGCTTACTTTAGACAATTAAAAACCACTGGCATAAACCCTTTTGTAGTGCCTGCCAATCCCAAATAACTTTTGAGAACAAAGGTCGAAGTTTTATGATTGAAGTGGAGCGGATTTTTTTTTTTATATAAATTAGACTCTGATTTGAGATTATTTCTTTTAATTGGAAGATGTTTCTAAGTTGGTCCAGAACAGAACATAATAGGACGCTTAAAGAATACTCCCAATTTTTATTTAACAATTTGTTGACTGATTGTTGAGTTGTTGTTCCGGCGGAGAGAAAAGTAGGATGGTTAATAGCATTTTGAACTTTTTTACTATACTAAATTAGCAAACGTCTCTATCAGATTTTTGTATGAATATACCCTTTTAATATTAAACCGTAACGAATATATCCTTCCGTCTAATTATATGTTAGGTGATCATTAAATAAGTTAGAAAATGACCAAATTGCCATTTATCTGCGGATAATTTTGTTTTAATTATTTTCTATATCTAATCAATTAAATATTAAAACAAATCTCTAAACTAATCCCCTCAATCGGGAATGGATCAGGTCAGTAATTTTATGGTGAGTAACTATGAGTAACCCGCCCACATCAGCATGACATCAGCATCCTCTCTCTCCTGGAAAGCCTTTAATTTTCCCCTACTTAATCTTTGACGGACGATTTCTCACTCGTTTTAAGTCGAAATTTAATTTTTTTTGCACAGTTAGATCAGATTAATTGTGCTCTTCAAAATGATATCCACTTTGATATATTTTTCGAACAAAAAAAAAATTGAGCCATTTTTTACCAGTCTATACCATATGGTATTTACTGGTATTGAAATAAGAGCATACCTATGGTCTGAAAAGCGTACCATGGTGGTATGAACAAACCAAGACTGTAGGATGATTGAATACACGATAGTAGAAGTATATTAATTGTCATTTACGACTTTTAACATTGTATACCATAAGATACCATAAAATACCACCCCGTACCAGGGTGGTATTGTATGGTATTTGGTGGTATTTTTTGGTCTTGTAATTTGTTCACCCAGAAATTTGTAGATCCAATAGATCATGATGAACTCGTCCCTGCTGTGCAAATGTTTTCAAAAACGAATGAAAAACGAAGAAGATACCATATGGTATGCAGTTGGTACCGAGAGGCCAAAATTTTTTTTCCCTAAAAAAATATTGAAAATTGATCTCATTTTGTAGAGCACGATGTACTCGTTCCATCTGTGCAAAAAAAATTAAAATCCGAGTTAAAACGAAAAAGATATGAGTCAATTAAGAAAGCTAGTGAAAATAAAAATGACATTTAATTCTCCATCCTTAGATCTGGATTTTCTAAATGAAGAGTCCAGATTTGGTTATTGATGGATGCATAACCATGGGTTATGCACCCTATCTTGAGCCCCCTCAATCGACCGAAATCGTTTCGTCTTCCTCAAACTGCCCGACTCCTACAACTTCCCATGGAGTCTTCCCCTCCGTTTAATCCCGCGGCAGCTCCAGACTTCTTCTCGCCGGTGACGGGAGCAGAAACGATCGGGTGAGACGGATCCTTCCACCTCGTTGCTCGTGGCGATCTCGGAATGGAGATCCCGGTGATTGTGAGCGGGGAGAGCGCAATGGTGAGATGGCCTCAAATGGTGTCTAGCATATGCCGAAGTCGACTGGGGAGAATCCGTGAAGCTGGTCGTCTCTACTCCAGCCGCCGGCGAGGAGATGCCGGAAGCATGTTCTGCCGCTGAGTCGAGCGCAAGCGAAAACTGTAGGGGAGACCGACGATCTCTGAATTAGTTTAGGGGTTTCGTTCTTAATTTAATTAATCTGGGGCAAAATAATTGGGTTATTGTTTACGCCTAGAAAGTGCCAGGCGGGTTTGTGAAGACCTTGGAGAATACCGCCATTCCTTGATATGTGGGTGCTGCGTTCACTGCAAAAAAGGTCCGGGGCGTGGCCCGCAAACACTCTCCAACGATCAAGTCAGTATTTAGAGAGAGAAAGACCAAATTTTCCACGTCAAGAAACATAAAAATTGAGGGTCAATCGGTTCGGGTTTAATCGGGTTACGGGTCAATAGGGTTGCGGGTTGAACGGGTTGCGGGTCAATCGGTTACGGGTCGGGCGGGTTACGGGTCATTGACTTTTAGTCAATTCGGGTTGCGGGTCGGGTTGCAGGTCGGGTTGATCGGGCGGGTTACTCGGATCAGGTGCTATTTTGACACCTATAAACAGAGTAGAGGGTACAAAATGCTATTAAAAAATCGTTGACAACCGGAGGGAGAATTATCCTTAAATAGGCGAGTCAGTATTCATGTGCATGACACGAAGACGTTCAAACATATCGGCGGCAAAAATATCCGAACGCTTGGAAACCTTGAAGAGCTTTTCTCTTCGTGAACTCCCTCCTGTTGGTGTATTATTTCTAGTGATACTCAGCGTCAGCGACCTCGAAAGGCTCAATGACCTTGTTGTTATTATAGGGTAGGTATTCCGGTGGGGAATTCCGTAACACTAACATCTGCATATTACTATTCCTTACAGATTGATCTTCGGATCACAACGAACTGGTCAAGAAGATTACCGTATGATTAATCAACGTGGTTAGTTAGTACTTAGTACTAACTAGTATTGACCATTAATGACGTCGTGATTGATTATTTTGTAACTAATGATTTATTCTATGACGCACTAATCATACTATGTACCTTATTTTATTCTAAAAGTAGTTGTTAATCCTCAAATTTTAAATTTTAATTGTTACATTAATTTGATTAATATAATAACTATAACTAATTAGTTCATGTAGTACCATAGCCCCAATCTCTAACAAATCCTAAAGGATACAAGTAAATTCTAAATGAATTTCGCGCATAATCATTTTTTGTATTGTTATTGACCACACAATCACTAGGATTACTACTAACAGTATAATAGTATATCGCTACTAATACGTACCGTCCCCCAACTTCAATGCTAGTCCCCAAATTTGGAGACATTCATCCTCCAATTTGGGGATTGTCTTCATTTTCATTATTTTTGCTCCAATGATACCATTTCTAAAGTTGGGGATCTTCCTTTTTCTAGTTTTCTTTACTTAAAAATACACTTGTGATCATCTTAATCATCTTAATATAATTTGTTCATGTTAATTTGTGTATATTTCATCATCATTTTTAAATAAAATTTTTTTGATAGAATATTTTCAAATTCCGAGACAGAATTTTTTTTTTGGCAAAAAAATGATTGAGCTAATTTGGGTTTACACAACAACACTTGCAAATGATAAAGCTGAAGGAGTTCAATTAACGTTGTAGTTGGTGTCAATTTGTTTTGTAATTCAAGAACGCATTTACATTTCAATAATATGTTTTTTCATTCTTACATCGGTCTAGTTTTTGTTTACACACAACTTAAAGACGATAAACATAAATTTGAAATTAAATGAATTCAATTTAAGTAATTTTATTAAATAAATATACTTTTAAATATTTTGAAGACATCAAATTAATACCAAATTTCACAATTAACAATTATTTTCACAATTAACGCCTAGAAAGTGCCAGTGTAACCCCATTTTATGGATTCTTTTGCCGATTTTCCACATATCTGCAGCCTCTCCCTATTTATGAATAGTTGAATACCCATTGAAGGTAACTATTCTCATTTATAAATACTCTATTGGAGTTAGCTTAACCATTTTGCATATGAATCCATAATGTAAAAGGAAAGGCAAAATCACTATCGATTTAAGCATTTATCCTTCATTATCCCCGGTAGACTTGTATTCAGTGCCTCAATCCTCATCAGCATTCTGCACGTGCACAGTCTCGGGTCTCCCCCTGACTTTTCTGGAGTAGAGTTCCGCATGGTATGACTAAAATCGTGATGGTCTCCTATATTAACTATTATTAAGAGACGTGGTCCTTAAAAATATAACTGGAAACAAGATTCTAGCTTCAAGGTTGTAAAATTTCAACATTATCAATTCTTTGTTTATGAAGGGTGATGGTACAATTT